CACATCCAGAAATTACTGAGTAACTTATGTTTTAAAAGTTTTTTACTAAGAATATATAGAGACATTGTTACATAAAGTTTGGACTGACTGTGTGTGTTAAATACCTTAACTATTAAACAGACACCAGGCTGATATCTGTTACAAAGATTGCCACTTGGAAATGATACCATTTACACAAAACAAATCCATGATTCTGAAACATGCATGAGTAGCTTTACCCATCCAAATAATTCCACTTAATTTTGCAGGATTCCTCATGTGAGTGTTTGCACCACTGAGGTTTAAATGTATATATCAGTAAAACATGTAAAGCAGCGAATGATTTGTAATTCTTGCTGCTCTATAATATAAAAGTAGGGTTTATTTTTTATAGAGGAGGTAAAGACTTAAATCTCCTTTTCAAAATATCCTATGAAAGACAACATTAAGGTATCAAAAGAAACATTAAAAGTTTTATATGATTTGTTTTACTGCAAGATTTCCAGTAATCCAGTGGCCTAAACTTCAATAAGTTAAACAATCAAATTATATATATGTATAATAAAAATAATGGCAAAACTAGCAAAATAGATCAAAATGTACAAGTAGAAAGGGTTTGGTTTGGTTTTTTTTGTTTAAATGCATAGGCTTGCTTATTATAAACTGTTGCCTTTACAGAGTATACACTGAAAAAATAATCAAGCTAGCTACTGGAACGTCATACAATTGTATTGTGCTATTTTTACTAACAATGTATTGTACAGTATCTTTTCTGAGTTCTATCTGCACCCCAGATAAAGTGAAACTGCTAAAATCCTCCCCCATTAAACTATCTTTTCCAAAAAGATCTAATCCTGTAACCACTGATGGACACCATCTTGGAGGCCATAATTAGTGCCTGGAAATATGGGCTGAACGCTTTGGATGCATCCCTTCCTGAGTACTTAGCATAAGAACAAACAAAAACATGCCATCTCTGCTACAGTTTTATCCATCTACCACACAATTTATGCCCATATCCAGAAGCCAAACTACACTTTGTTTATTTTTTTAACTGTGAAGCCAAATGAAGTTGGGTGAGTAAAGTTTTATAAGATTTTCTAAAAATCTTACAATTCATGATGATGCAAAAGCCATTTCATAAGGTCTCTTGCTTAAATGTGATGATTAAGCAGCATAGTATACTCAAAGCTTGCAGTCTTTTTAATGATTTAAAAACAAAAAGGTGGATATTGAATCAACCTGAAAAATCAGGCTGTGTAACAGAGCTGGCTGGAGGACAATGCTTTCATTCTGTGACAACTTGTAAGGCTTCAAATGTTGTTTTTAATTCTAATGAGAAGAAGAAAGAAAAGCTTTTAAGTGCTTTTGCCAGGGCAGGCCCACAATTTTTTGGGGCCCCCTGTGAGATATAGTTTTGGGGCTCCCTGATGTGAAGAAGCCAGTGGTAGTGGGGGAGGCCTTAGCTGCAGGACCCCTGCAGCTGCAGGTTTTGCAGGATAGGGTGGGCCAGCCCTGGCTTTTGCTAAAACAACATTTTCCTGAAATACCTGTTTTTAAAATGAGAAGATCAGGTTTCAATTGGGGGTCATTCTCTGATTAAGAGGGACCAATAGGAGTGGCCTCAACCTTAAAAGCCTTCCATTGGAAAACATGAAACCAAAACATCTTGGTGAAATGTACTGGCTTCAGTGAAAGAGCACTTTTAATTGGCAAAAACATTCCAGCACCCCTTGCTATGTAATATTCTTAGCGTTAAGGTTCAATCCAAGTAACGTAGTAAGGCAGCTTAGCTGTCCCAAGCCTCAACAAAAGAAGCAGGTTAGATGGTGGTGTTTTCATGCTCCCCAAGGCATCTTATGTAACAAGCACCAAGTTTTCTAAGTAGCTTGAGATTTCATTACTCATTTTTGCAATGTAAAGTCTCACTGAAATGAATGCGGCACTATTACTGCTGTGCAATAGGAATGCTGGTCAGTTACATCAATGTTGTGTAGCACTATGCAGAAAATTGCATCCCACAAAAATAATAATCACTGTGTCTGCAGTGAAAAACCAAGCCAGCCTTTTGCCTATGACTTGACAGTAAACAAAATGCAACCAAACAGTAGCTAAATCTGAAAAAAACAAGAAAACTCAAGAGTTGAGGTCAGCCTTTTGCCAAGAAAGCTTTATTAATATTGCTTTTACCCTATTGGTGCACCACTCATTTGCTCTTCCATGAAGGAGGCTTCAGAAAAATGGTGCTATTCACTGTGCATTATGAGCTACAATGTCCAGGCACAATTGGGTTAAGAATAGAGCTCTGTCTAACTGAGATCCCCAGACGCCTTTTCAATTTTTAACTATTTCCTTTCACTTGTGTGGTTGATTGACTCTTAAGGTATTTTTAAGTAGTTTTTTGCATTTCTTACTGATATTGCACACAAACTATTACATGTTAACATTAAAAAAGAACAAAAAGAAACATTACATGTAAAGCGCTTGTCTTAAGATACTACCCACAAGCATCCTTGCCTCACATATTTCCTGGACCATCATACTTACAACATCACTCCAACACTACCAAATTGCTTGTCTTAAGCAATTCTCAAATCCAATGGGTAAATTAAAACACAAAAACAAAAACACAATTTTTTTGGATATGAAAAATACTATTTTGGGAAAAAAACCAAGACGACAAATGTACACATACAAGAAATGCTTATACTTTTTGAAGAAACAAGTTTTTGACTCCACTAGTTCTGATCTGACATCTCTGTTGGTAAATATGGTAAAAGACCTTCTGAAGCATGCAAAGAATTTTCTAAATTTTTATTATGCATACAAAACAGACATCTATTAAAAGGCTTGTATTTCCCCTGAACTCATATTGTAAACAATGATTAACTGATGCATTATGTAGTAACACTGAACTATGAAATGCACATTTCATTTTATAATTTACATGAAATGTAGGTTCAACAATTTTACATAGCAGAAAAATGACATTTTGTATATCGATTTAAGTGGACATTGCACCTACCCAACTGATACTGATGCACACAATGTATGTGCTATCTTTATAAGTGATTCTTTGCTACTTGATGACTAGCCAAATCTCTAGAGCTTGAGTCCTCTGTGACACATTTTAAATAGCTGTTAGAAGTTGGATGCACATGGTGCTTGCATCAACTCTGCAGAACTGTATATTATATTGCAGGTGACTATTTAATTCCAAAGAGTATAAGCACTGATAGAAATGACAGCAAAAATTCCTCATTTTAAAATTTAATATAGGAGATGCAGCTTTCCAGAAAGTATATCCACCCACTCGAAAAAAATTGTATGGCAGACAACCCTGACAGGCTCAAGTGCGGAGAAAGAATATCCTTTTATTAAGTGGAGTAGAAATGAAAAGAATGATCACTATTAGATGTTTGGCCCAACTGAAATTAATAAAAGTGTGCGTGTATATGCACATGCACACTGCTTGTTTACTTGTTTATTTATGTTAAGGGGTTTTATAACAATGGCTTATGGAAAAATGTTAACATAACTAATTTGATATATATGATATTCATAAAAGCTGACAAAATCTAGACAATGCATATTTTAACTCAATTTAATTTAAAATTTCTACAGTGTTGTACACTTTTTGGTGCAGTGTATTCATATTTCTAATGCCAATTACCTGCCATGATATCTTTGCACATAAACAAATAAAGGGCTTTTTAAAAGATCCTGAACAATTAAACAAATACACAAATTATGTTGAAGTTATTCATATAGAAATGAGGTTGTATAAAAGGCAAAATTCAAGGAATTTCACTAGGGATGGATTAGTTTAACACCCAAACAATATTCACATCTTATATATTTGACTGATCCTCCAAACTAAAGTATTTTACCTACAGTAAAGGTGTGTGGAGAGTGGGGTATCAAAACCATAAATAAGATGTTGTTACTGCATATATTTCCATAACATGTATGCACTATTTTTCTAAATTATAATTTTTTTCAGCATTTAACCCAAAACTAATACTTATCACAATTTAGTTAAGTAAAATGGAAGCAAGTCTAAGTGAGGCAAATCAAAACTGACAGCTACTCAAATAATACATGCATAAAAGTATATTCAAACTTCATGTGCTCAGGAAAAAGCAGACTCTCAGCAAAGCCCCTGAATCACAGGCCAAAAAAGCAGAAACCTTTTAAAATATATATATTTTTAGTGCATGACTGATTATACTGTCAATACCTTTCACTTACAGAATGGAATAATAAACTCAGTGATGCCTCAGTGTTGCTTCCTTCCTACTGTCCCCTCAGGCATTTCTGGGCATTTCCAATTCATTGGGATAAAAGTCAGAAACAGACCACAAGCTCAGAGCACTGACAGGTACAGAGAATCATTCCAGTGCATAGCAGTTTGCAATACAGATTTTGAAAGGGTTTTAAAAATGTGTGTAATATTTTGATGTATAGGGACGATTGCAGACATCTGACAACCAAACAAACAAAATGACTGCTTAATTACTTACAAGTTCTGAAATAAGCAGCAACAAAAAAAGCCCACTTGTGTTACTTTCTACTGAAAAGAAAAGGTCACAGCTCAGGCACAGAAGACTGACTTTTACTCAACAACACACATTAATTATCAACTTGAACTTTTGAAGGAGCATTTATTTCCTCCAGAAAGATTTTTTTTTGACAGGCAAAAGCATGTTTTATATAAACAAAAGTATTTTGATAGAGCCATCCTATCACTGTACAATACAAAGTGTTTTAACAAAAGGCTTGCAACAGTAAGAATCAATTAACTGCACCTGAAATATTAACCATGTCTATAAACCTCGTCTGGTTTAAAAGCTACAGTACCATTATAGCTTCCTTTTATGTCTTATCAGCAAAACCAGACAGATAAATATGCAGTAGAAGAATAATGCCTTAATAGCTGCAGAAGACCATCTAGAGGAAGGTAAAAACAATACTAAACATTTATCACAGAAAACGAAAACGTGAGGTTATACAAGGCTTACTTCGAAAATGCTCTGAAGCGTAGTAATAAACATCCTCATAGCCCTCATGGTAATCCTCCTCTGGTCGGTACTTCTTGCCTTTTCTTCTTCTCGACCTTCTTATCTGCCTGACAAAGCCCAAGAACCGTTCCATCTCTTTCACCTGCACACAGGATCAGCCCAGTTTACCTTTTGCTGGTGTTAGCCAACAGCTAAGCTTCACAAAAAGCTGCCTGAGCATTAATAAACAGCAAAGAGAGATGTGGAACTGGATCCTTTGACCATCCACTCCGATAATATTAAAGAAAAACAACAGTTTCAGCTCTGATGAGGAAACATATTGTTTTACCTTTAAAAAGAACCTCTATCCAATCCATTCATTGGAATAGTTCAAGATGTAACGAAGCTAAAGGAGGGAAATAACAGTGCAAAAAGGGACATGCAATCTCATGCAGGTTTTTAAACGAAACAGAACAAAGTTCAAAAGATCTGCCTGCCAGCAAGAGGAATCCCAGCACTATAATTTCACTATCCTACGTCTCCATCATTTGAAGAGGGGCTGGGGGGCGGGGATACACATTAGTCAATGGACTGAACCATATCTGAAGACAAAACAGGTTTTCTGTAGCCTCTTCATCACTACCCTAATAATACTTGTAGCACATGCTCAAGACCCCGTTTGATGTCATTTGTTCTAAAAACAGAAGCCACAATGATCCATCTCTGAAATAAACACATCCTGGATGAATAAACAGCAAAGTGGTTTAATCCATACACACAGCCCACTCACGGACAAGTGTGTATGCTGAATGTGTTAATTGGAGCAGCAGGGAGAAAGCTAGGCAGCTGCTTAAAATGACACGTTTACCCACTGGGCATTAGTGTATTCCAATCATTGTTTGATCTAAATATTAAAATGCACTTCACAGACAGGCTCTTCATAGATCCAGTAAGGCTATATAGAGAAAGGCAAACAAAGAAAGCTGCATCAGGAGCACACTACACAGAACTCAGCTAAAATCCTAGCTGAGTTGTAAAACTTCAAAATTATGCTCCAGCAAACCAGCTGTGCACCAAGTAGAACTATTTGTTTTGTATAAAGCCTAAAAATGAGCACAGCATTTTTCTGGTTACTTGTCTGCATTCCACCAACGTTCTCCAAGATAAGGCAGGAATTTCACAAGTGCTTATGACAAAATCCTCCTCCTTTACAAGAACAAAAACAATGTGCACGCACCTCCAGTCAGATGAACATTTATCACAGAATTTACTTTTTAACCCCCTCGGACAAACTGAGTAACAGCAGGACACCACCAGCCTGCTGCCGCAAGTTTGGAATGCAATCAATCATATCCATCAAATTATCTGCTAAGCATAATATCCAGAACCCAAGCACCCATGAAATGCCATTCTGGCCCCCACCCCCAATGATTAAGAAATCTTCAGTTTTCCTATAAAATCCATTTTATAGGACCATCATCTGGGAAACAGCAGTCTATTCCTAGTGATAATGACAATGATTCACTATTTTCCATAAAGCGGGTTGAATTTTGACCGTATCTGAGCAAATATTTAAATACTAAGGCACATTCTGGTTTCACTTAATTGTGTGAAGTTGTAGAATGTATAAAGCTACTAATACACAAACTCTTCCATAATGGAACTATTACTTGGTGGGGTGACAATGTAGCTGAGAGTCCATTGTTTCAGGCCTGCCTCTAACCTTCTGATTAGTTGTCACAAGAATGATGTTTCATTCTGGCATTTGTAAAATACTTACAGGCTCTGATTTTCAGACTTCTAACAATTTTAGGCCTATATGTATTATGGTATCTTGGTGCATAAAATCATTGATAGCAGGCCAACTGAGCAAATGCTTGTCAAAAGGGACGACCCAGTAGCCATCTAACTGCTGCCACCTTACCTCCTCAACCCCATCTCTACCCCAAGAAGTCACACAGTTGACAAAAAGTTAGGTCCACTCTACCCAGAAAGTGGGAACCATTCCTACTACAAGCAGAGGTGCTACAGGTAAGTTCAGTCATGCCAACAATACCTGGAAAACTACTATCAACTCAACCTGGCTTGGTATCCAAGCTTCTTCTGACCACCAGCAACAAGTAACTTAATGGGTGGAACAAAAGGAGGCCAGTTTCTGGTGCAAGCAGGAAAGGAAACAAAGTCATGAACAAGAAAGAATAGGAATTTGGGACATGGTATTCTTCCTCCTCCTTCCCTAATCTCTCCAAATCCTGGCAAAATCCTGTACACGCCTGAGCTCCCTACTGAAACATATTAAGTTTCTTCATACACTGTGAGAGGAATCCCAGTTTTTCCACTCTGGAAATCACACCACTGTAGTAATTTGATTAACATACTGAAGGTACCACCAGAATTAGTTTTAGTGCAGTATCTCACATGGTGATCATCTTTTGTTATACAGACTGAGTTTATGTAATAATGCAAAAGAAAATCAGCTGACTGGCACATTGTATTTAGAAACCAGACAAAACAAAAAACCTAACCCCAAAATAAAACATACCTTAGGCCTTTGTTAGAACAGCTCCCTAAAGCTCCTGCATATTCTAGAGGTCTTACTTAGCTTTCTTATTTTTTGCCAAGTTGCTTCCAAATAGTAAAAACATTCAATTAATATCATTATAGTTTTTTGGCAAACATTTAAGGTATTATAGCAGATGGGGTAGTGGAGAGTAAGGCTTTGTTATCATCAGGGTCCTGGGTTTTCTCTTCACAATGGAAAAACATGGTAAAACCCAGATTTTCTCATTTTAAGGAGAAAATCCCAGCTCTTCTCCTTTAAAGGAGAAAAACGTGGGAAACACTGGGTTTCCTCTTGCAGCCTGGCAGAGTTCCAGCCTGCAAGGGGCTGGGGGGAGTAGGAGAAGGGTGGTCAGGCAGGGGGCACCAAGTACATGTGCGCACGTACACATGCACAAGGCTACCAGGCAGCATAGGGAGCAGCTCCCTACAGGTAAGTCAGGGAGGAGGGGAGATTGAGGCCCCCATAGTGAGGGAAGAAGGGAGTTGGGTAGGGCTGGGACCCCAGCTGGGACTGGGGCTGGGGGTGCTGCCCAGCCCAGGCAGTGTGTTGGGCTTGGAGCCTGGGGCCAGAATGCACAGCCGCAGGGCCCAGGTGTGGAGCAGGACACAGCTACAGGTGGTTTTGCACCACTGCATGTACTTCTAGGGGGTGTCATGAGGAGCACGTGTCCCCCAGATTTCTGCACGGGGTGGGGGCAGATGTGGGCTGCCTGCTACAGGCTCTCTGCCCTGTTGCCCTCCCCCTGGGGCCTCCGTGGTCCAGCCCCAGTGCAGCCCAGCAAAGTGGGGTGGACAAGCTTGATGACTCTGCCGCGAACCCTGTGCCACCATGGAGAAGCACTACCTGCCTGCCCAGCAACAGTGGGGGCAGCAGGGCGGAGTTGTGCCCCTTGCTGCTGCTGGGTGGGCAGGGGGCATTTCACCATAGCAGCACAGGGCTTGTGATGGCACCATCGAGCTTTCCTGCCCTGCTCTGCCCTGCAGCACTGGGGCTG